CAGTCAAAAAACACTCCCATTGCACCCCTGTAGCATCACTCTAGGGGGAGTTACACCCCCTTGAAGTGAAAACACTTCATTAGCCATAACTTCCGAAAGTGCCGGTCAATTTGGTCCAATTTCTGCGTGATATCAACTTTAACGATACTGCAGATTCTCACAAATTTATTGTTTTCGGAGACGATCCCGTGACGGAGATCTCGAGATATCGGAAGCGTACCCGAAGCTTTCCCGCCATTTTTTTTTAGGAATGCGATGAAATAGAAGTTTTATATTTATTCCACGTTGTAGCTAAGATTTCAACGATTAAAACGCGCTTCTAGACATCGAAGATTTAGTTTGTTAAGTGATTAAATTTTTCATTTGAAGAAGCGCCTAAATTTTGCGAGTTTCCCTCGAGGTACTCGGATGGCAATCGCTTGGCGCGCATGGTAGGGTAGAGGGCCGCTCGAGGTGCAGAGAGATCTGCAGCGGGGTAACCGGTCAATATCGTACGCTCCGCCGGGCTGACAATGTTGCACACTAGAAGTTCTTTAAATTATTAATTAACACTTTATCGACCGGTCGTGGTAGAGGCCGCCACTAAGTAGGTACCGTGGGAAAAGAAAACTTAAGTATTGAAACAGCGTAAAGAAGATTCAGAAAAGTCTCATCAATCAGTCAGCTCAAACGTTGAGCTCACAATATTAATGAAGGTGGCACGTACCGAGAAAAAATTGCACGGATTTGTCAATACACACTTGATAATTTTAAAGCTGCTGTTGAAAGTGGTTTAATTATTCACGATCACGATATACGGAGATGGGCCTTACAAGTTCAAAAAGAAATTGGATCTGAAGATGTAAGATTTAAAGCTTCTAAAAATTGGTTAGCGAAATTCCAAAAGGCTCACAGAATAGTGTCTAGAAAAATAAATAAATTTATTACTAGGAAAACATTGGAAAATACTTTAGGCCTCCAAATGATGGCTGATATGTTTGTTGCTGATGTGAAATCTTCTATATCATCAATTGGAATTGAAAATTTATATAATTCAGATCAGAGTGGGTTCCAATTAGAAATGCATTCTGGAAGAACATTAGCAGTTGAAGGAGGTGCAAGTGCAATGAAGTCTTTATGTTTTAAGCACTTTTTTGAAGATAATCATTATTGTCAACACTTTGAAGAATAAAATACTGTGACTTACAATTAATTATAAAAAGAGAAGAAAAAGAAATAAATCTTATAAAAATAATTTTTAATCATAGTTTCATTAAAAAATATTAATAAATATTGAGTACATACCCTGGTTTATATGAAGAAAAAAAGCATAAAATATATAGTTTTTTCAAAATATAAAATAAGGGTTGCAACGCCTTGGGTCATAAACACACCTCATATCTTCGACTTTTTATGACAAATATTTTCCACTTGGTTTTATTAAAAAATATCAATTAGAATCTGACATATGATAAAAAACAATTTTCGGGGGTAAAATTTAGGGGTGGTTTTTATCCCTTTGAAAAATCCTGAAACACCCCAACTGAAATATTTGATAGAGTTAATGGAAACGCTTTTCTTTATTTTTTTGAGCCCATACCCCGGTTTTTATGCAGAAAAAAAGCATAAAAAATATAGTTTTTTCAAAATATAAAATAAGGGTTGCAACCCCTTGGGTCATAAACACACCTCATATCTTCGACTTCTTATGACAAATATTATCCACTTGGTTTTATTAAAAAATATTAATTAGAAGTCGAGATATGATGAAAAAACGATTTTCGGGGGTGAATTTCAGGGGTCGTTTTCACCCCTTTAAAGTGGATGTCAGCACACAAAAAAAAATACGTGTCTCTTATTTTGTCGAGTACTACAACATATCAAAAAATTATTGAAATCGGTGGGGTCGGGTTGGGGGGGTTTCCTTGTTAGTCGCGCCCGAATTTACTCCCAGTACCGGCTAAATTTCCACTATGCATTGTGTTGTGCTTATTCCTTTTGTTCTAAATTAATGGAATTTTATTGATGTTTATACTTTATTTTGTATTTGTTTTATATAATTTATTGCCTTTTTAACTTACATTCATGAAATAAATTCAAGGTAATAGTAATTCAATTTTTTAATATTTAGTTTGAGTGTGGTATCTCTCGTAACAGTCACCCTTATGTAACGGAATATTACAAAATTTACATACGAAACATGTTCGACTTCTTATCTTTCTCGATGCACATACTCTACATTGTTTTTGGGGTTTTTTGCTTTTACCACTTGTCACTATTCTTATAAGTTTATGCTTCTTTATGCATGATAATCTTTCTGGATGATCTGATTTTGGTGCTCTTCTTGTAGGCTCTGAAGTATTTGATTTGTTAGTTGAGTCTGTTTCGTCACTTTGAGAATCAGTTGATGATACATCGGATATCTACGAAAGTGCCGCTTTGTGTAAAAATTTCTTGTATGTCATTTTCTTTCCGTTCAATGTTGTGTACGTTTTAAATGAATTAAAAAGAGCACAATTGATGAAAAACATTACAACTCGTTTGGTCCACTTATTAGTTTTTCTAAAAATGGAGTAGTACGACAGATATTGATCTGCGCGATCTACCCCCTTCATATACTTGTTGTAACTAATTATCGACTCAGGCTTTTGAATTGATATATGTGATTTTCTGTTTACACTTCCGGATTCCATTATTCGCGCCGAATGTATCGTCGAGAGCATGTTTACATTTCGTTTACCGTTATTCCATATTTGTAACAGAATATCGTTTTTTCTACGAAATGTAGCTTGACCATTTGAAAGAGTTATGTTTTGAAGACATTGTGGAAGACCTCTATTTTTCCGAATGGTCCCACATACCCGTACTTTGTTTTGCAGGAGAACTTCAGCCACATGGACACTGTTATAATAATTGTCCTGATAAATGTGATGTCAAAGATTTTTATACGGATCAATAACTTCTAGAATAGTTTTTTCCAATTTCATTCCTTGGCAAGCATACACTTGAAAATTACAAAAATATCCCGTGTGAGCTTCACAGACTGCTCTCACAAGTATGCCGTACTTTACAATTTTAGCAGGATTGTAGGTTCTGAATGATAGTCTTCCTCGCCACGGAATAATACATTCATCTAATGATAATTGTTGACAAGGTTTATATACATCAACAAACCTTTTCTTTAAATAATTTATAACTGGCTCAACTTTTACAAGTCTGTTTGAATTTGTGGATATATCTTCATTATTACAAAAGTGCCAGCTCTGGAATATCTGCATAAATCTATTTCTGCTCATGACTTTTGAAAAAAACGGAGTTTCGATGCTTTGCTCAGTTGACCAATAATCATGAAGTCTCTCTTTTTTTACTTGTCCCATTAGAACAATTAGACCTAAAAATTGTTTCATTTCTGGAAACGTAATATCCACCCATTTCTTCGTTTTTGAGATATTTTTATATTTATTGGTTACTTGATAGTGATATCTATTCGATTCTTTAACCAAATATTCCAAAAGGTCATCTCCAATAAATAAATTCACAATGTCCCTTACACTTGCTTCAGATTTTGGTAGAATTTTTATGCCTGGGATGCCTTCGAAAGGTTCCAAAATAATTGATTTGTCATCTGTTGACCATGTATCGATGTTTACTTCAGCGGTGTCATCAATACTTTCTGAATCGCTATATTGCAGTGGCAATAATTTTCGCGGCTTCCGAGTGTTGATAGAAGAATCACTGCTATCATCATTACTGCTATCACCATCACTGTCTATTTCTGAATAACTGCTATAGTCTGACAAAGCATCTAAGCAAAACTCTTCCTCTGCACGGTCTTTATCCATTAGAAACGGTAAGAAACTATTATAATTGATAAATATTTTGAGAGGTTAGTATAAAGCTGGAAATAATTAACGACGTTAGCGCTGCGAAATTATAAAAAAAAACAACCCACTGACAAAAACCGTCGATAACTAAAAACCGATTAATAGGCTACCGGTCGATAAGCGTTAGGAATCGAAAAGCCGATAAGTAGGCAACCGGTCGATAAGCGTTAGGAATCGAAAAGCCGATAAATAGGCTACCGGTCGATAAAGTGTTAAAACAATTTTTTCCATTTTTGAATTTTCCTTTGTTTTTGCATTTCTTTTTTAATTTATTTATTGGTTATTTAATTCAATGACTTTTCACGTTAAAATTTTTGCTTTTTCTTCTTATTGTTTTGTCTCTTAAACCTCTCAATTACAATACATAATTTAAATTAAGAATAAAACAACTGTCAAAAATAAAAAAAACCTTCCTATATCACTGGGAATGGTGCGAAGAAGACTGGGGTAGCTGTTTAAGAGCCAAAATGATAAGAAGAAAAAGTAAAAAATGTAATTTGAAAAATCTTCACTAGTTTTCGAACTTTTCTCAAAGTCCAAAAATGCACTATTTCACTCCAAACTCTGCCGTTCGGCCATTTTGTATCCGATCGGGATAAAACCTTTACCATTCGAGCGGAAAGGAAATTTCCTAAAAAATATGTCTTTGGTTTTTCGAAATCGGTCATTGTTTAAGCTATTTGCCAAATATTTTATATTCGTAAGTTCGTGCGTGTCGGATCTCATTTTGCCGCTAGGGCTGTGCTTGTAGCGTGGCGCTGCTTGTTTTCTGCGTAGCGACGACGAAATGAAGAAGTTCAGTTGCGCTTGTAGGCTTAAAAAGACAAAACAAAACAGTCGAATCATGGACATGATCAAACCATGTCAAAGTTGTATTATCATCAAGATTAAACATATTGACTCAAAGAACCCTATTAAAGCCAAGTTGCTAAGTAATGAGTGATGATAAAATTTGTGTTTGTTTCTTGAACTTATATTTGTTTGCATTTTAATTTAAAAGAGAAAATATGTGCTGAGCACCCGGCTTACAAGAGCTGCTAGAAAAAGTCATAGTTTCACAGAAATACACAAAAATTCAAGTGTTCCACTTCAATTGGACGTTATTACATAAGCAGCAGCGTGAGATTTACTAAGCAGTAATAATTGTGTTTGCATCAGCGTGTAACAAGTGCCAAAAAATGTCGAAAGTGTATGTCACGCCCTGTTGTTCAAGTTTAAATTTGGTCACAGTACAGTTGAAATATATCGAAATATCTCTAAAGGAATAGGTTTGGATGCGGTTTCTGAGCCGGCATGCCGAGTTGGTTTCAGTGCTTTCAGGCTGGCGACTACGGTTTCTTCTTTTCTTCTTCTTTTTCGCTGAACTTCTTTTACCCAGCCGTCGTTTCAAGTGGTTGAATACCGAGGTAACCGCGGATGAGAAGTGGTGCCTCTATGTAACCATAGTCGAAAGCGTCGATGAGTCGACACACAGGAAACCATAACCAGAACATAAATTTGGACTGCATCAGAAAAATGTAATTCTTAACGTTTAGTGGTACGTGCGTGGAGTCTATCATTGGGAGCTTCTTCTGGACAATACTACGATAAACGCCGCTGTCTAAACCGAACAACTACAAAGACTCGCGGAAGAACTTGAACGACTGTCACCGAAGCTCGACAATGTTCTGGTTGTACATGATAAAGCACGTCCTCTCGTGTCAAAAACAACACACAGATTCCTGCACCGACATCTATCGACACTCGAGAATCTTTGAAGGTGGGTGTCCGTTCTAAGTTGACAACGTGTGCGCCCACAATTTCCGTAAGTGACGTCATCAAGACCCCTCGATTCCAAGAATTTTCGTTCGATTCCGGGAATTTTGCGTCACATTCCGCGGATTTTGCGTTCCGTTCTAAAAATTTCGATCGAGAACCTTCTAGAAGCTTCGACGGTTCATGTCCGTGCTAAAGTCGCGGAGGATCGCTCCCAGAACCGACGGTCCTCCTGTGCAACGTTTTGATGGAGCCCCTTGCCCTCCACCTGGGGAGCTTTCAAGAAGCTTCAATGAACCCCCTTCCTCCCTCTCCGATCCGTGTAGATTTCAGATGGCAGCCTTCAGCCGATTTGACCTTGAACGTTATCTCGTATCGATTTCAGGAAATTTGTCGGCTCTAGTCAGCCATTCGATTCCAGGAAGCCTCCGTGCAGGTTTCGAAAGGCAGCCCCCGTCCCGAATATTTCGATGACTCCCCCGACCCCTATGCAGACTTCAGGCAGCAGCCGGACACTGTTTTGATCTTGATATTGAGGGTATCAAATTACTCACAGAAGATAAGCGACCATTTTTGCACTTCCGAATGCACGTCGGAAACATTTTGATGTAGAGTTCGAACTCAAAGTGTGCAATTCCGATAGGTATCTTATAGCTCGAACCGATACAAAATAATTCCAGGAAAACCTTGAAACCTTCGTATAAAAGATCCTTCGATGATGCACAGCGATCATTGTTATTCAAACGCTCAAGTGCATTATTAGTGTCACCAAAATGGATTCTGCAAAGTGTAAAAAGTTGATCGAGATCATGGAAGGAGAGTATAAACTTCTAAAGAAGGGATCATCGATTGCAGAAATTGAGAAATGAACAAAATTTGGTACTTAGAATATTCGACTTCTGAACAAAATTCCGAGGAACGTTGCGTTTACGACTGGGGAAAAATAAAATTTTGACAACCATTGGAATATTTAATTCGTTGAACGAAAAATTTAAACAGCACCTTTAAAAAAGAGGTGAAGGAACGGTGAGAGAGAGAAGAAGTGATAGAGTGTGTTGGGATGATTTGGAATCTACCTTTAAGGGAAGAATAAGGATTGGAGTGATTGTAAACTTGCGACACAAGTACTTTCCAAGGATCATTTCCTGGATGATGCAAGAAAATTGTTCATTGCTAGAGTGAAAAACACACTTCGAAAGGAGGGAAATTTGAAAGTCAACGTTGTCTTGTCTTGTAAATTCAAGAACATGAAAGGTAGTGAGATTGTCGAAGAACTAAAGTTCTTCAATACTAAGAACGAAGTTATTCTACCATCCACCGACATCAGCGACTGGTTCAACACAAATGTGCAGGAAAAAATACTGACTAAAATTGAACACTTTTAAGAGAGGGAAGCAGGCTGGTCATTGCTTGAAATTGAAGGACCGCGTTCTATAATCGGTTACCGTGCTGGGAGGCGGGTAAAGTATTGGCGAAATAGTTGAAAATAAAAGTGCGAAATGTGATAAACAAAAAATATGTCTGGATGAGGCTCATTCAGGCGCATCTTTTTTATGTCGAGGCTATTTTTTTGTACCAAAAAAACTTTTCCAGATAAAAAATAAATACGTAGTTGTTTTACCTAAAATAACATGCAAAAATCAATGTTACTCAAAACTGAAACTGCGTTTTCTCGAGAAGTACTTAACCGAATCGCTGCAAATTTAAACCACATGTTCATGACTCATTGACGGAGCCTATGATCCAGATCAGAATGTTGCAGCGCAAAATTGTTGTTAAATATTGTAATAGACAAAAAAAACTGTGTTTTCCACATTTTACCAAGCGAGGAAGTTTTTCATTATAAAAGTCTCATCAATATCATCCTCAATATACTGGTCCTTAACGTTTGGACAAGTTTTTAGCAAAGTTTAATCGCGATTAATTGAAAATTATTGAAGTTGTCGAGAGTTTAACGAAAGTCGGCATTGACACGCGACGCCGACTTGGCGATCGCTGCGCGCGAGGCGTATTCGGACTTTCTGGCCGTCTTTTATTTTCAACCTATTTGTACTATACTTTTACCCGCTTCTGAGCGCGGTAACCGATTATAGAACACGGCACTTCAATTATAAACTTGGCGGTGAACATAAACAAATATATTCCAATACACGGTGGTCTGTCCACCTTCATCGAACTACCAAAGGATGTGCAAAATAAAAAAGCAGTTGTGAACATTAGAAAAAGTAATCCGTATTGCTCTCTAAAATAATGTAAGCTTTATCAGTTCGTATTCCCACTTCAGCTCAGTGCTAAGGTTTAAATTTTCCTATTGGTTTTAAGGATATTCCAAAATTCGAAAAGTTGAATGATTTGGCAATAAATGTTTATGGAATAGAGTGCGATAAGCATAAGGGTAATAATGAGATAGTACCAATTTATCTAACTCAGCAATAATCAGATAAAGAAAGGATTCACCTACTTATGCTAGAAACGAAAATTTACTCGAATGGGGATGATATAGATTTCACAGATTGTAATGTTTACCACTTTGCTTGAATCCTAAATCTGTCTCGCTTATTGAGATCTCAAATTTCAAAGCATCATGGTTGTATCAGACTGTGCGATAGATGCCTATGCCACTTCACAACAGAAACTTCTTCCGAAAAACATAGACTCGACTGTACAAATGTAAATAAATCTAGAGTGGAATTACCAAATGAAAAGGATAAAATTCTAAAATTCAAAAATTATAAACACAAAAAAGCTGTACCGTTTGTTACATACGCTGACATTGAGTGTATTTTAGAGTCAGTAACTCATGTTTCTAAATCGTCATACATAACGGCCTATCAGAAGCATGTTCCACACAGAATTGCGTACTATCTACAATGTAAATTTGATGACTCCATCTCCAAATTTAAAGCTAATCGTGGAAATAATTGTATAAACTGGTTTGCGAACAAATTAAAAGAGTTAGCTCAATTCGTAGAATTTCACCTGAAATGCAACGTATCTATGAAACCATTGAATTTCCAACAGAAAAATGAATTTTATTCTACACAGACTTGTCATATTTGTGAAAAACCGTTCACATCTCGAGATGTCAAGCATCGCGACTATTGTCATTTTACGGGTAAATATTGAGATGCTGCGCATCAGAGTTGTAATTTAAATTATAAGAACTCGCATACCTTTCCTGTTGTGTTTCGTAACTTATTTGCTTATGATTCGCATTTCTTGATTAAAGCCTTAGCAATATTCTTCGAGGGTTCAATAAACTTATTGCCAATAAACAAAGAACGATATATATCCTTTACGAAAAGCTTTAAAGATACAATCGTAAATTTCAGATTTATCGAGATACTGTTGCATAGGATCGTTTTGATTAACGGATACATACGTTTGGCAGTAATTCATCGTGTCACTTGGCCTCCTTCTTCTTCTTTAATTGTACAATTTTGTTAAAGTTCGTTACAGATAACCGGACGGACTGTTTCTCGAACCTCATCTGGATCTTGACTAACGTAGAAACTATAAATGACGAGTTTATAAGGATTACTGTTCAGTCGAAACTATTTCACCACAGGGACATGATCGTGCATACTAAGCGTAAACGCAATGGGAAGAAAAAATCTCATCGTGGTAGAGGATTAGTCAACAGGATCATCAATAGTCTACCCGTTGAGTTACATTTACCCGGTTACCAGTACCGTGGATCTGGTACAAAACTAGCAAAGAGACACGCGCGAGGCTGTCCGGGCATCAATCCCATCGACGCAACCTGCAAAGAGCACGACATCGCCTACTCGAAGAATCAAGAGAGTCTCGAATACGCAGGAGCGGCGGACGAGGTACTGGCCCATAAAGCTTGGAAGCGCGTTTTCGCTAAAGACGCGAGTCTCGCTGAGAAGGCGGCAGCCTGGTCCGTAGCGAACGTAATGGGTGCCAAGTCGAAACTCGGTATGGGACTCAAGAAGAAGAAGAAGCCAAAGACTGTAACGCTGAGGAAAGTGATTGAGGAAGCCAAATGATCGATGATTCCTAGTAATGATACACGTCAAACGAGCAGATGGAAAGCGCAACGTCCGCACACCGCGGGTTCTACCCGTGCCGTCCTGTGTTTGCGGGTCTCAATGCAGCTGTAGGTATAGCCAAAGCTGTGAACGATGCAAATGCAAACAAGGAACAACTGAAGGAAAGTCAGAGGCACAACAAAACGACGGAAGCCATCGCATTAGGCAAAGGACTGCACTTGAAACCCTACAGAAAAGGACTATGCCTTCATCTGAAGCCAAAAAACTTGAAGTGAAAATACCACGCCGAGCGTTAACCGATACGGATCTGCTAAAGTACGCGAAGATCATAAAGATTTCACATTTTCGCGGATTTTTTATGGGGAACGAAGGGTGGGCCGTACAAGTACGAGTCGGCAATCGTCAATCTCGACGACGAAGATGGTCCAGGAACACATTGGGTCGCGTACAATAAGTTGAACAATCGAGTCATTTATTTCGATAGTTTTGGCAATCTTCGACCACCATTAGATCTTATCGAATATCTCGGTGTTGGTAGTGTAAAGTACAATTACGAGCAATATCAGGAGTACGATACTTTCGCATGTGGACACTTGTGTCTAAAGTTCCTGTGTGGACAAATAAATCGTAAAAACAAGTATCGTCTACATAAACTTGCTATGTAATTTTACAAGGTCAGTTGAGCAATTGCAATCATGGAGGATTCATTCACGTTAACTTTATCAGGAACCTCCTTTCTATACTCGAAGCTTAATATTTCCCTCCTATCGAGCTTTCCCCGTACAAAAATTACGCTCTGGGACTCATCGAGTTGCTGACCTTCAATTCCATTCTCAACGTGGACACAGATCACAACAAGCTCTACATGGGGGATGAAGTTATCACTATACCCACTGGTAGCTACGAGATCGAAGATATCCAAAACTACGTGCATAGTGCGTTGACGGATAAGAGCATCGTTATTCACATTAAACCTAACAATAATACGACTTTCGGCCCAATGATTCCATAGGTCGCTTGTTGGGTTTCACTTAACTCGTTCTGAAAGCTAATAAATTACACACGTCCGACGTACCAGTAGCCATTCTCAAGGTGAACGCCCTATGAGCCGAATGCGATATCACGATGGCCGCTTACATCAACGAACGTAAAGTGCATACCATACACGAATTCTTTCCGGTCGTGCCACGCGGATACAAGATCATAAAGGTGGTTGTCGGAATGTATATTTTTTTTATTATGAATAAAGACATAAGATGTAATAAGTTTTAAATTTATTTAACACATATACATAGTAGTTGAAGCACGAATACAAAGTTTATAGACATTGGAACTGTATCTGGTTGTACCGTCCGCCGAGATGACGCATGAGGACTCGATTCTCCTCACAGGCTTACATAATCTTCTTAAAGAGATCGTCGTCGTCGTTGAAAGCTTTTGCCATCCTTGCAGGTAGAAACGTCGAAAAGCTGTCTTCGACATTAAGGATCAGTCTCATCCCATATTTGGTTTGAACTTTTCTTATTCTGGTGATTTTGTATTCTTTCTGAGGTTCCAAATTAGTCAATTTCTTTGTAGGAAGATAGTCATCCAAACAGCTGACTTTGTTGATTGCTGAGGAATTCATTTTTTACTGTAGATCGAATTTTTTTAGATTTCGTAAAAGGCTGTTATAATCTCTTTTAGCTTCGATTAAATGTTTCACTTGTATTCCTTCATAGTAACTGTATTCGAACTCTAAGTTCACCTTATTTCCTCTTATTTAGCATCGGTCGGATTGTCACAGCAAACTAATGATGATACGTTCAGCTCCTCCTTTTATAGGAAACTCTTAAGGGTTAAAATGGTGATGGGAGATTTCGGAAATTTCTAGGAATCGAATCTCCTACAGAGATTCCTGGAATCAATGTCAAGGTCGATGCATCTTTTAGATGGAGCGACTTACGTTCTAGAATATTCAGATAAACCTTAGCCCTCCTCCGACGAAGTTGCGTCGCGCGCTTACGTATCTCCTACGAGTAATGTGACATCTCGGAGGATGAGGGACTGCATTCTCGACGCACGATTCTAGGAGATAACGTTGGGTATTACGCATTTGAACAACCGATACATAGATTTTTCTAGAATTACTTAGACCCCTCCACTGCGCTTACAGAAAGTTTGCGAGAAGCGTTTCGACTTGCACGAACCTGCACGAGGTTTCCAAGGTTATCCTGGATTTATTTTGCAACATTCGAGACGGGGGCCGCCTTTCAAAACCTGCACGGAGGCTTCCTGGAATCGAATGGCTGGCGAGAGTCGACAAATTTCTTGGAATCGATGCTGCATTCCAGAGGGCTGCATCCTCGATGCGCAATTCTGGAGGAAGGGGGTTCATCGAAGCTTTTTGATAGCTCCCCGGGGTGAGGGGCAAGGCTCCATCAAAACGTCGCGCGACCGACTCTCTGCGACTTAACGCGGACGCAAACCGTCGAAGCTTTTAGAAGGTTCTAGAACGTTCTAAAGGTTCTCGATCGTGTGTAATTCCTAGAATCGAGCGCAAAATTCCCGGAATCGAACAAAAATTCTTGGACTCGCACACGTTGCCAACTTAGCACAGACACCCACCTTCAAAGGTTCTTCAGTGTCGATAGATGTCGGTGCAGGAATCTGTATTCAGAATACCACAGCTATACTACTTACTTTATTACTATTACATGTGTATAATTTTCAGTATCATATACATTGTGACGTATTTTTACACGATCGACCTCACCGGAAAATGCAAGACCGACCGGCGCACAACTTACGCGATTCCTACGCGTTCCAGGCAACCCAGGGGCTAACAGATTTCACTCTCGAAATACTTTCCATGTCTTAACGTAGTCAAAGTATTGTTGGGCGCCAGGTTCCAAAACGGGAACCTCGTATCAGTTTCTACAATATGTCTTCACGTGCTTACGTTGGCTAACTCAGCTACGCGGAGGCGGCGGGAATCGGAACAATAGGTCGGATGGGTCAGACGATCACGCGACACACAAAATCATTCGGACACTTCGATCTCAAAGAAATGGTTCGGTTTATTAACTAAAATCGGCGACGCGAAGCGCGACGATCTCTTATAATACCGAAGTAATTATTTACAAAAGAAGTAGTAATTCATATAGATCGAAAAGACAAAAACAAAGTTCAATCAAAAGACAGTAACGGGTACTTCGCGTACTGTACGAATTCAAAGCCAAAGTCGTAACACGGCTAATCCGCGTTTACCAAAATACGACAACCGACCGTCAAGGACTTGTACGCGTTCTTCGCGTTACAAAATCAAAAGTTACATATGCCTGACGGGCGGATGACACGAAACAATTCGGAGAACGTACAAAATTCGAATTCAATAATTAATCTCAAACAAAATACCAAACTGTGAACCCTGCCGGACGACGGACCTTCGTGCCTTGGTCTAATTCGAGGGTGAGGGATCTGATGGGCGGCGATTCACCCTGCGGACGAATCCTTCAACCCAGCGTCTTCGCCACGCGCCAGTTTCGAATTTGTCATTGCGACAATTAATAATTTTCATCATCTCTTGTGGACAATTTATACAGCTCGGTCCTACGAAGAGTAACATTGGTTCTTGCGCGAGAGTGCACCAAGCGTCCCTGGATTCCCAACTCGCGGAAATATAATTATGCGCAACTGACGATGGGCGCTACTATGTCATAGGGGTCGGTAGTGGTGCTCAGTCGGGTGGCGCTGTGTACGCCGCTTCCAGTCGTCGTCGTTGAGTACCAGCGAAGTAGAGCGCGTTGCTGCCGCGTGACGTCAAGCTGTCCCGCGTTGCGCGCGCCTCCGGGGCCAGTAGAGCTGCTGTCCGCAGATAGCGCGAGTGTCGACCCTCGCGTGTCGCAGCTCCCTTCCTCCTGGGACTCCAGCTGGCTCTCCCTCTCTCTCCGCGTTTTCATGGGCACGGCGAGCGAGCACCTATTCGAACTCCGGCAGAGTACACGCAGA